GCCACAAGGAATGGTTCGGCTCTATAAAACCTATACATCTCAGAACAGTTTTAAAAAGGGGAGTAGCCCCCCCCCCCGGTCCCAGTTTTTTCCTTGTGTCGGTGCTTCTAATCGTAGGCCGTGTTGTTGGCTCAGACCAGAACATTCTAAATCCCAGTTCTTCTTTCATTCGCTTAAAGTCAATTATCTTGAAATCAATTATCTATATCTTCACTGTGTTTGGTCATTCACTTAGCGGTCCATAAAGTTTGGGTTCCATCAGTGTCTCCTTGGCCAGACGTTTTGCCTTGAAATGTATTTGGGACAGTCTTGGAGGACGTGATCTTTTGTCTCAGGTGCCAGCCCACATGTACACATGGCTGATTCGCCAGTCTTAAATTATGTGTACATGTGACTGCAAAGTCGACTGTTCCCTGATCTATGGCGTAGAATAATGGCTTACTCTGGTCTGTCCATCATTTGACAATCGTCTTGTGCCGGTTTTGTGATTGATTTGATTGTTCTCTTCTGTTGATAAGAGACTGGTACGTCAGGTTGTTCTTTTGTTGCACCTTCCTTAGCTAGTTAATCAGCTCTTTTATTTCCAGGAACTCCACAGTGGAACGGTATCCTGTGCATAGTTACCTTACACCGGTTGCCTAGTTCAGAGAGTAATGTCCATATACCTGGTAATTTTCCAGACTGGAGTGCCTGAAGTACCGCTTTTGCATCTGTCAGGAATACCAACACCTAACCATCGAAATCGAGTGAATAATGAAACTATCAGGCAAATGGTGGGAACCACACCTTGTACTAGATTCATGGAGAAACAGCAGTTAAAGTGGTTTGGCCATCTTGTTAGTATGCCGAATGATCAAATACCATCACAAGCACTACATCTCAGAAGATCAGCTACAAGAGCAAGAGGACGGCTGCGGAAATGATGGATTGACAATATTAAAGACACTCTACGCCTTCACGGCATGACAAGAGCCAGTGGCAGGCAACGTGCACTGGATCGCAAATTATTCCTCCCCACGTTGCTTAACGGCAGAAGTGGTTTATGATGATGATGATGATGAGGAAGAGGAATACCAACTGGTTGTGAAATATACCCGGTATTCAGTAGTTTCTCTACCGCTGTCTTGATGGCTTGAACTTCTGCATCGTAGTTGTGACAGTGCTTTTCTGTTGCTATTTTGGCTTAACTCTGTATTAATAGGGTGCTAAATTCACACTCCTGCTCCTCCGTGTTTGATTGCATTTATTGCTGACCCATCTGTAAAGACACGAACCCAAATATCCTGCGGGTATTCATCATCAAGCTGGCGTCTGTGGCTTAGGCATTGTGAACGCGCTTCATAATGCCAGGGTGCCGGGTTCGATCCCGGCTGCGGGCCTTGCGCTGGTTTTGACAGTGGTATCGAGAAGCTGACCATCCAGAAAGCAATGGCAAACCATTGGACGTAAATTTGCCTAGAAAAACCGCAAACAACCTGGGGTTGGTTCTGCTCCGTCCCGTAAAGGATGAGCAACTAACTTTATTCATCATCAAGTAGACTCAGGGTGGCTGTTTTACAGCAGCAGTTTTGTTTTCCCTTGTGAAATACTCTGTTACTTAATCTTTCTACACACCTGGCCCGCTAAAACAGGGGAAATTATTTTCCAGGCTACCTGCCAACTAACCAAAGACAGAAATCTGACCGCTGTAACGGTTAATTTATGCGGTTTACCAGGTTTCCGTAATTGTACCTGTTTGATTCTCATAATTAAGGTCAAGTAAAAATGTACAGGACCCTTTACATGTGTATATACATATATAAATAAATATATACACATATACAAAAAAAAGAAGAAGCAACAGAAGAAGAAGCCGCAGCAGAAGAAGCAGCAGAAGTAGCAGAAGAAGTAAAAAATATATTTGCTAATTACGTCCTTTTCAGGACATAATTTTTTGTTATTTGAAGCCCCACTCTGGCTTTTGCCAGGGGCCGCAATATAGGCAGGCCATAAATTTGGCCAATTGTCTGAACGAGGTTTCTGTGACCTCTCCACGGTGATCCTTATCCACATGGTGGCACTTTGTGTCATCAGGTGTTTATCGCTTGTGTGATGTCCTGGTGGGGTAGAAAGTCAGTCAGTCAGAAGAAGTAAAAACAAAAAGAAAGAAAGAAAGAGGAAGAAGGATGAGGAGCAAAACAAACTAAGCACTACAACTGCAGCTCCTGACAACTCTCCAAGGAAATATCTGAACCAGCACAGGGAACAAGACAATTCTTCCATTGGTATGACAATGAGTAGACAAGATAAAAGAAAAAAAAAAAACACACCAGACTATTTCTTTTCTTCTTTGCATTCACTGGCTATAAAATCTGGCGAAGTGTTCTGAGTGTTCGTCCACCTCCAGACTTTAGTCTTGTTCCAGAATCTTATTTATTTAAAAAGCCTACAAATATTTGTCGTGGCAAATGAGATCTGTAAAACAAGAATTTCATTTGCAAAAGGTTGAAAATGATTTGCAAAAACAAAAAACAAAAGAGAGAAAGATGATTAGCTAAAGAGAGAATTTGGTTTGCCAGTCCTGTAACACAACACATGAACAAATGATTTATAATACAAATCACAGAATAAGCAAACTGAAATTACTACGAGCCAAACTGAACAAAGAATAACAATTTTAAGAACTGAAAGTTAAAAAAAACTGCACTATTGTGAAAGCTGTAGTTTGGCCATTGTTTATTCTCATATATAACACTGAAAACAACATTGAATTCAAATATTTAAAAAAAAAAAACAGCATTCAAATGGAAAATGAGAACTTCATGCAAGGTCAGGCAAAGATTACGTCTGTTACTTGGTGATGGGAATAGGGAATATTTCCTTGTTGTTGGGAAACAGAATATTTCCTTGTTTTGAGAAAGAAAAAAAAAAGGAATATTGTGTCATGGTTTTGGGGGAATCTGGAATAGCTCCTGGTTGAGAATATGGGAAATATTTTTGCTGTTTGTTGGGGATAGGAAATATTGTTTCCTGGCTGCACATATAGAGAATCCATTCTGGCTGCACAGATAGAGAATCCATTCTGGCTGCACAGATAGAGAATCCATTCTGGCTGCACAGATAGAGAATCCATTCTGGTTGTACAGATAGAGATTCCATTCTGGCTGCAAAGATAGAGAATCCATTCTGGCTGCACAGATAGAGAATCCATTCTGGCTGCACAGATAGAGAATCCATTCTGGCTGCACAGATAGAGAATCCATTCTGGTTGTACAGAAAGAGAATCCATTCTGGCTGCACAGATAGAGAATCCATTCTGGCTGCACAGATAGAGAATCCATTCTGGCTGCACAGATAGAGAATCCATTCTGGTTGTACAGAAAGAGAATCCATTCTGGTTGTACAGATAGAGAATCCATTCTGGCTGCACAGATAGAGAATCCATTCTGGTTGTACAGAAAGAGAATCCATTCTGGTTGTACAGATAGAGATTCCATTCTGGCTGCACAGATAGAGAATCCATTCTGGTTGTGGGAATAGGAAATATACTTTACCAGTTCTTAGAAATAGAGAATAATTGTTTGAAAAAAAAATAAATAATGGTTGTAGGGAACAGGGGATAACATCTCTTGGTTGTAGGAGTAAGAAATATGAATTTGAACATCCATATGTATGATAACCTGGTGTAAGTCACAATGTGTGCAATACACAGTTTGATTCAAATATATGAACTGAATATTCCATTGGAATACTGAGACATTTATGTGAACAGACTGCGCAAGTCATTTGTGAAAATAAATAGCAGAGTCATACCATTCCAACACAACAAAAATAATTGTAATAACCATTTGTATTTATATGTTAATTTGGTGGGATGATAATATACTTACAAGGACAAAATACACCAGTTTTGGTCAAATGTACATGTTAATTAATTAGAATATTGTAATATTTCTGGAATAGAACACTGGCAGATCCGTATTATTTTGAAAGGATTGTACAAAATGGACAACCCCACATACACACTGTGAGAGGTGGTAGACAGAACCCTCATCGGGGATTATGAGGGTTTGGCAAAGTATGGTGTGGCCTTGTGCCATGGAGGAATCCAGGGTGTTCCCTGAAACGTCCAGGCCAACAGAATTCGGGTGAAGTTGTGACAGGCCTAGCAAGCCGACTATGGATTTATTATCGCTACAGAGAAAAAGAAAAATAGCAGTTCCTCATATCTCCCTGGACACCCAATGCCCTAAAAGTTGGTGAAGTAGTAGTACAGAATGAAGAAATCGATTGTGAGCCTTATGTGGCAAATAAACGGTAAACAGGATGATAATACTCTTATTAATGAACATAACGCGTCACTGTCTGCTGAAGATGAGGACAGAGCACTTATGGCAATGTCCCGGTGCTACAATATCAGTTCTTGGCTCAACACTCGGTGTAACTGAATTCCTTGAAGATGTGGTTTTATAGAAGAATGATGAAACACGCAGTAGGACTTTAATCTACGACAACTTTGTCAAACAGGTGGAAGATTTAACTCTGTAGAAATGAAAAAAATTCTGAAGGAAATTACTTTTCTCATGAAAAGAAAGAACTAGCCTTCTTATGGAAAAAAAAAAAAAAAAAAAAAAAACTTTTCATAGACTGCAAAAAAAAAAAGAAACTACCTATTTTGTAAACAAAGGAAGAAAAACAAATGGACAAATGAAAAAACACACACACCAAAGGATAGAACTACTTGGTATGGGCTGACTGACGTCTATCCTCCACTCTTGGAGGATAAAGAGCACAACAAAAACAAATGAATTATTGTAAATACCAAATCCATATTTAATAATGACCAATTTATTGAAACAACATGATCAACAACACTGAAACTAAAGAAAACAAAATACATGCAAGGAATAGAGTTCTCCATTCATATTTGCAAGGTCAAAGAATTTATGTTAATGTCTGCAGGTTTTTACCAGGTGTGGCCTGTGCTCCCTTTGCAGATGTTGGCTGTGACAGAAGAGAGACTAATCCACGTCGCTGCAGTTCACCAGGGCCATGACGTTAAAGTTGACATTGTCTGGCTCACGAGCCATGAACTTCTTAATGACCTCTGCTGCATCCTGGGAATGTAAACAAAAGTATGTATTACTGCTCACACAGAAAGAAATTATGATACACACTGGCAAGGCAACAGTACCTTCTACAAGTACTTCTGGACTATTTCTTGCAATCAAATATGAAAAAAAAAAAAAATCTGAAATGCTTTACAAGATTTGCAGAATACCATGAACCAGTAAGAAAATAAATACAGACAACCTGAAGGATCTGAACATAAGGAAAATTGGCTCACAAACAGCATCTTGTCTTAGAAAGTGAAATACTTTGGTCTTATCAAAATGTGATGGTGGATTGGAAAGAACTGTAACAGATGGCGCGGTAGTGGGAAAGAGGAGCAGGTGCAGACCAGCACGAAGATGGGCACAGGACCTAAGAGGCACTTTAAGCAGGAGAGTGCATGAGGCCGGAAAGCTAGTGAGGGACCAAATTTCTTTCAGGTGCACTGTCGATGGGAGAGGAATTCTGTAAAGAACCTGCTACGTGATGATTAAAGTATTTTCAAGTCTAATATTTCAGCTTTAACATATGCCAGTGACAGGTGGAGAACCAGTGAAGACAGGTAATGAAAGTTAAATACATGTGAAAACAGCTGCCTAAGGAAACAAGAACTTTCAATGCGAGGAACTAAAAAAAGATGAAGAAATGTTTGGACAACCGCTTGTGTTATAAGAAAAAGAAGATGGTTATGTATGGGGCATATCCCCAGGACAGGTGGACAGAAAACCACTAATCAGGCACAGAATTTAGAAACAGATTGACTGAGGAAGCAAGGACATCCAAGAAAAACTATAAAGATGGATGAACACTAATGAAAGGCCATATGAGCTAGACTGGAACTCTCTCTCTTCTGTCCTTATTCTTTAAGTGAAGCAAAGGCCCAGTAACATCTTAAGCTGTCATCCTATCTTCAATCACTATGAGAACAGATCCCATACTTTCCTCACCAACCATGTTTAACTGTTTCACCCTGGGAACACTTGAAAAAAAAAAGTCATAACCTTGCTTGAATTCAAGAAGAAAAAAATCAACAATTTTACACAGGTCACTAATAAATTTGCTATAAATTTATTTATCAACAATTTTGTTCTTCATTTTGTCCATCAAAATATCTAAAGATATATTTTGGGAGCAATCAATAAACATGAATAGGGCGAGGCATTGAATGGAAGATACTCCTCAGGGTCTAACAAAAACATATGTATCTGGTGACTCATGCCATAACCCTACAACCTCTATCATTGAGGATTACATGGCAATTTCACCTCCATTTGGCTGTTAACAAAAAACTAAATGCTATTTTTAGTTAATGAATCTATATTCTGACCTCCCAAACATTTGCGCAGGCATGAAAACAGCCAACAGCATTAACTATGCGCTTTATAAACAGGTCACTGCAGACGAGTCGGAAAAGTGACATTTATGGGGAAGTGGACCAAGTCGGAAGTGTCAGTGTTGCAGCTTTCTGGGAGCAAAAGGTTAAAACATACAGCAGGAGATATTTTAACCGGTAGAGGAACTTTGGGATAACTGAACACTGAGCACGCATGGAAATGCTTAATGCAGGTTTTTTTTTTAAATGCACAAAAGGTGCCGGTACTCACCTCAGATTATCTATTACAGTACTGCTGAAAAAATGCTGCATTTAAAAAGGTGGCAGCATTGCCTACCACCAGGAAAAAGCCTTGGCTCAACGTATAACATTTCAAAAGTATTACAAGATCAGTCATTTGGAAAAAAAAAGTAATAATAAGTCTCTGTGTGGGTTCTAGGTTCTCCTATATTTGGTGGTGAAGAACTAATTACGGTTTTGCTGAAGCTAGATGTGCTGAAGAAAAGATATTGTAGCCTAGCTGCACAACATGCTAATTAAAAAATAAAAAAAAATTTAGGGGCAAACGAAGAAGAGGAAAGAAGCATAAAATTAAGTCAGATGATAATTATGGGATATACAGCAGAAGAGTCGGAAAAGAAGAAAAATCTGTACGTGGGAAATCAGAGGAAAGCAAAGAAAGGCAAGACAAAGAAAGATATGTGTATTCATAAAAGCGTTTACAGATGGAAGATATCTTCTTCTTCTTTCTCTTGTGTCCAAGTTACGTAAATGTACTGTGCTTGTTAATAGCAGAGCTGGGATATTTGCACCTTTCGGCCGACACAACTGACTTCATCGGGCATTTGTTAACTGGGGTAACCTTCCCGGCTAGTCACGAGGGACATTAGTAACCTCATACAGGTGGTGATTTCATCATCGCCTGATTTAGTTGCTGTCCCTAGAGGGCCCCAACTACACCAGCCATGTGCAGATTGGTCGACCCTCAAGAAAAGGCAAGGGCAGAGCATGGGCTTTCCTGCCATCCAAGGCGGCTTCCATCATTGCAGAGCCTGTACATGGTACTCTGATACTGGGCTCACCCAAGGAATACTCCCATCCCGCACAAGACTGTTTGATCTCACATCCATGTAATAAGTCTTCCTCTCACTCAGATCTCCAGCAAAGTCTGCAAACCTGAGACTCCAAATCTCTGCACAAATAAGCATCTCACCTCACATGTTAGACATGCAAACCTGAGACTCCAAATCTCTGCACAAATAAGCAGCTCACCTCACATGTTAGACAAGTTTCTTGGCTATGGCGCCTTTCCTGTGGATGATCTGGGACACCTGATGCATTTATGGGAAAGTAAGGATTCCTGCTCTATTCCAGACACTTCAATTATATATTTTTCTTCTTCAGCATTCTGAGCCTTTGAAGTTCATTGCTGCAAACACCTGCCTCCATCCATCTCTCTGACTGGCCTTTTCTTTCCAGCTGGTGACTCAAAGTGTGTGTAGACTGCTTGTATATTATCTGCACCCTCTTCTTGGCCTGCTTCAAGGTCTACTCCCATTCAGCTCATTTGTTTATACAGTTTTAACCTTTGTTTTCAGCCATTCCCTCTTCATCACAGTCTACGCCAGCAATTAGTGGTGGTTTAAAGAGATTATGCATTTCATTGTTGCTTTTCCCTCTACATTCTCCACTATCTGCATCTTTTATACGTCCAAAAATTAATCTAAGACTGTTCTTAAAAGTCTGCAATAAAGCTGTATCTCTTTTAGCGGTACTCGAGGTTTAAGAGCCATAGAGGACAATCATTCCAAAAACTATTTTACCTATTGTGATCTTGGTGTTACAAGATACAGCATTTGGTTTTAGCAGCTGTTGTAGGGCATAACAAACTTTGTTTCCAGATTAACTAAATATTAAGAAATGGAAAAAGCTTTAGCTTGCCTCCAAGAATATATCAGGGTTGGTCTTTCCGTGGACAACTGGTCCTTCTTTATTGCCATCTGCAAACAAGGAGAAGACTCAAGTGTTCAAGAAACTATATTTATTTTTCAAAAATAAAAACAAAAATATTGATTTTAGCAGATCACAGACACCTGTTCATAATCTGTTTAAATCACTACTAATTACCAGTATGACGGCCAACTGATCACAAAGGTTGGAGCATATAGAGAGAATGACAGAGACTAAAACTGCATACACAAAAGCGTTGAATGGGAGTAGACCATGACAGCAAAGAAGCTATAACTCGTTGTGGTTAACTACAACCTGACATTTGTGTTTTGTAAATTGATTTGTAACCCTGTCACCCCAAAAAAGCCCCGACCAAAGTGTTTTTATCCATGACTAATTCCCATAAATGCTGCATGCATAGCTGGCTTTTTCACTGCCACACTTCTGTCGTTCGAGATGATAATGTTATTTGTGCTAAAGGGAGAAATGGGAATCACAACCATGGCGGTGGCTTGTGTGCCTAGCAAGACATGCTTGCTTGGGCAGCATTATAGAGACTCATGTTTTACAGATGCAACAGGATCCCTCTCTCAGCTTGCCTTGTTTACTCCAAAGGAAAAGGTATTAAATATGAAGACACAATTTAGATATCACCCAATGCTGTATGGACCACACAGTGGATAATGATAAGTCTCTGACTCCAACATGATTATATGACGTGGGAGTTAAGCCTGGTGAAGCACATCTATGCTACCTTCAAGGTCAAGATAACCAACTTCTAAAGGGAACAATCAGTACTCTGGCTGCTGCATGGGAAGACTGAGCACTCAGGGAAATAAACAATGTGCACTGACATCGATTGTGATAACACAGCAGTTAGCTGACAGAGCATTCTCAATGCACATTGATCCCCATGTGCAGATTAAAAAAGAGTAGACCCACTCTTCAACGAGCATTTCATAAGAGTCGACTAATTATGGATATTTCCTTCAAAGTCTGAATGCATCAGATCTGCCTGAGAAGCGAGGATCCAAAAGTCTGCAAACAAATAAGCGCTAGGCCTGTAAAAAATATGTGCACGCAAAATCAGGTTCTGGCGAAAGACTAAAGTCAACAAGTGGGCGCCCAACCAAAACTTTTCGCCAGAATTTACAGCCGGTAAACAAGAAAAAGAAACAACATGCATATCAAACTATTCAGTCCATAATCTCTCAGATGCCCTTCTCAATAAATCTGGTAGTGTGTAGTGGGCTGTCTGGCCTCACACCTTTTAACTTGCTGTTTGTGCAGTCTGGCCATGGCTGAAGACTCACAGTCATCACATGATTCTCATAAATGCTTTAACTTCTCATAGAACATTTAGTATATCAGCCTGGTTCTTTGTGATCTGATTCTGACTGCCACCTTTCCATCTTTCCAGACGATAGTGTTGTGTTGTATTGTAATGTGGGGAGGCATTCAACACATGGATGGCGAGTGTGACTAGCAAAACCCACCTCTTTGTTCCAATAGAGACCATGTATTCTCCATGCATCATGATCTCTTTCTCGGCCTGCTTTGTTTACTCTAAAGAAGAGGTAACACCAATATGTTTGGAACAAAGCATGCTGCTGGATCAACATCTAAGAAATAAGGGCTTAAAGTGTACTCATTCCAATTTATGCTACGGAAGCTGGACGCTGGCACATAAGGCCATACATATGATCGGCACAAAGTTATCCAAAAGTCACCAATGGGAAGTCTCACTAAGGGGAACTGATGATTGGCTTTGAACTTATAAAAGCACTCTCGCCACGAGGGTCGGAGCTTGGTAACATGTATTAGCTCTAGAAGTGCCATAATCAGTTCTTGCCAAACTACATTATACTGGCGTTGGCCAAGAGGGCGGGACCGATTATCATCCTCCCCCCACGTTCACCTATGAAAACCTTGTTACGACTCTTACTTTCTCCAAGCGACCAAGCTTCATCTCAGCCAGCGGTGCCAGGGATCCCAAACTATATATGAGACCACTTCCATAACAAAACATGTAATGGAAGGTGAACATAAAATAACATGCAATAGATAGATAGACAGCTTATTTAAACCCTACACACACAAAAAAAAAAAAAAAAAGATGAACAAATTGATCCCTCAAGCCATCCAAGAAGCACAAGACAAATACAGAAAAACAGGCTGAATCATGGCAACAGTGTAATGATGAAAGAAGAAGAACTGTTTTCTTAGACTAAATAAACAATGATGAACAAATGTCCAAGCACAAGATCTGACTAAAATGTTGAACTGAGCTTACCAAGTTCATACAGGGTGCCGTTAAAATTAACAAAAGCCACAAAATGGTGCTGTACATTTTCATCTACAGGAGGGGCCTGTGAACATTACAATCAATGTCAGAACGTAGAGTAAATATAACAGTGTAATATGACATTTATGACAACTGTTAGACATACTGTAAATACAATAGTGTAAAATGACATTTATAATAACTGTTAGACATACTGTAAATATAATAGTGTAAAATGACATTTATAATAACTGTTAGACATGCTGTAAATATAAAAGTGTAAAATGACATTTATAATAACTGTTAGACATACTGTAAATATAATAGTGTAAAATGACATTTATAATAACTGTTAGACATACTGTAAATATAACAGTGTAAGATGACATTTATAATAACTGTTAGACATACTGTAAACATAACAGTGTAAAATGACATATATAATAACTGTTAGACATACTGTAAATATAACAGTGTAAAATGACATTTACAATAACTATTAGACATACTGTAAATATAACAGTGTAAAATGACATTTATGACAACTGTTAGACATGCTGTAAATATAACAGTGTAAAATGACATTTACAATAACTATTAGACATACTGTAAATATAAAAGTGTAATATGACATTTATGACAACTGTTAGACATGCTGTAAATATAACAGTGTAAAATGACATATATAATAACTGTTAGACATACTGTAAATATAACAGTGTAAAATGACATTTATAATAACTGTTAGACATACTGTAAATATAACAGTGTAAAATGACATTTACAATAACTATTAGACATACTGTAAATATAAAAGTGTGAAAAGTGACATTCATAATAACTGTCAGACATTAGAGAGTAAATACAACAGTTTACAGTGTAAGTTACATTTACAATAACACTTATAAATGTTGGAAATATAACAGTGTAAAGTTACAATCACAACAACTTTCAGAGACTCAACATTAATTATATTAGTGTAAAGTTACATTAACAATATTGAATGCCTATCTCCTTCTACCATAACATTAGTTTGCCAACAGGACAAAGAACACAAGCACTTGCCTGAGTGTCTCCTTCCTGTGCACAATCTTCATGAGCTGCGCCCATTTTCTGAAACAGCACAAGAGGCACCAATCATTGAAAGTGTCTTTACATGTTACTCACTCTGCATCAGCCACTTCTCCTTTCTTCTTCTATGATCCTTAGTCTACAACCTGGTATCAGTGAGACGACAGAACAGGAACACTACTGGTCTCCTGATACGGTTTTTCTGACTAAAGGATCGAAGAAGAAGCAAAAGAAGAAGTTTTCTGAGACAAGACTACTAGTAAATTGGTTTTCTGTATTTGTCTTGCATCTCTCGGGTGACTTGGGTGATGGATTTGTTCACCTTTTTGCAGCTTCAGCTACACCATTTATTCATATCTTTCTTGGTCTTCCTCTCACCATCCTTCCAGATGTTCTGCTGCAAAGTCTTGCATGCAGTTTAGTCTGGCTGCATTCTCACTAGATGCCTGAACCACTTCATTCTTTGTCTGTCAATATAACCCAGACATGGTCCTATTCCAACTTTTTCTCTAATGATGGTATTCGCAACACTGTCCCTTCTTGTGTTGTCAGTGACTTTGCAGAGACGCACATTTCACATGTAGTTATGTTGTGTTTAAGTGACCAGTAGCAGTGATGAGAGCTATTGTTCAGTCCAGATCTTGCCTTGTACCACAGAGCTTTGTCTTGCTTGTCGCTGGAACAGGCCAGATGGTTTTCTGTGAGCAGCACACAGTTTACAGTGTTGGGGTACATGCTCAGCATTTTCAGATGCCAGTTTGCATAAACACATCTCTGTGTTTCCTACACCAAAATATCAGTATACATTAGCCACTAAAGATTGTATTAAGCTTAGAGGACACACTGCATAGTTCTGTCACAGGAAAGGCAAGAGGAAAAAATGATCTGAACACAACTGACACCATTAGTACTGGATCTCGGCGTTGGCTGCTGAAGATGGGGACACTGTCAATGAGAAATAACTGAAAAGACTGGTCTCGGCAAAACCAAAAGCATACACACACATTAAATGCATAAGGCAGCCATCAGAAGTGCCAAAACAAACAGTCCAACACTAGAAAGGCAGTAAAATCAAGAAACATGCATTAGGTTTGCATATGGCAGCTGCTAGAGGTGCCATAATCACAGTCATCACCAGATTTGCAAATGTGTCATTAATGGAAGTCACCTTAAGCTGACTGTACAAACACATTGTTACTGCAAATAGCACACCCCTAGTTCAAAAGTAATCTGGTCACCCACCATTTTCTGAATATCATGATACAAATGGCTGTAGGATCAGATTAAATTCACAGCTCACAGTGTTATACCAAACACTTAGCACAGCTGCTTAGCTGACAAAACTGGACTTCAGTTAATATGTGGAAACTATGTTAGCAAACTGTGGTCAGATTCACTAAAATACTTCAAGGCTTTCATGGACTGCCTGCCTACCCACCATAATGGACCAAGACTTCCATGCTTGGGTTTTGGGGCCCCATTCCAGAGAGAAAAAAAAGACACACTGCCTCCCTAATAAAAATGTCACACAAGGCAATTATTGGGGGAGGAGGAGGGGAGTCTTCTAGAACTTGAGTTTGGCATACATATCTGCTTATTTGTATGCAGATTGTTGGTTTCTCGCTTCTCAGGCAGGTGCACTTCGACAGCAGATATGTATGCCAAAGTTCAGTTCTAGAAGAAGATTACAGTCCAGAAATGGATGAACCACCAAAGTTTACAGCCAGGGAACACTAAGAAGATAAAGGACCAAGATAAAGGACCAAGATAAAAGACCAAGATAAAGGACCAAAATAAAGGACCAAGATAAAGGACCAAGATAAAGGACCAAGATAAAGGACCAAGATAAAGGACCAAGATAAAGGACCAAGATAAAGGACCACGACTAAGGATTTGCCACATCAAGGACAGGCAAATACTTACGTTATCCTGCTCCAAAAACTTGGCTCTTTCTTCGGGTGACATTGAACTGGTCAACTCCAGGAATGTTTTAAAGTGCTTGGAATCTACACAATTATTTAACAAAATATTTGTGAATATACAGTTGAGATATCATTTTATCATTCAGTCTACAAAATAAATGGATACATATACTTGTTAATAAACAGGCTGATTTCTCTCACACAATAACTGGACAAACACATTTGTGAACAACAGTCCTCGAGACACATGAAAACCGGAAACTGATTAATGAAATGAGATGTAAACGCTGCTATCTGGACATGTTATTAGAATTAATGGACTCATGGAAAAAAGAACAAGGTGAAGGAAAAGAGATAAATATCTAGACGGCTTAACTAAATCGGCATGGCACATGAGGATGATGATGGTAATCAGCAACAAACAAGAGTTTTCTCTCACAAAATAATTGCAGAAATATATTTGTAAGCTTCCCCGTGTGGGTTCCGGGGCCCTATCTTAGGGAAAACATGAACAGACCCACTGCCTACCCAAAAGCATGTCACAAGAGTCGACTAACTGGGAGCTTCCTTCGAAGTTGGAGTGCATCTGCCTGAGAGGCAAGGAACCAACAGTCTGCACACAAATGAGTAGATCTGTCAAACGGATGCTTACACAACACTCAGGTTCTGAAATAGGACCGCAGTCCAGAAGCGGAGGAACAACAAAAACTTTCTGTCGGACTTTACAGCCAGTGAACACAACGAAGAAGAAAAAGATATTTGTGAGCAAATATTTAAGAAGGTAACAAAATTGAATAAATACATTTGTGAACAGAGAAGATGTTAATTCCCCACAAAATAACTGAATAAATGCATCTGTGAACAGACAAGATGTTATTCCTTGCAAAATAAAGGAAAATATATATTTGTGAACAAACAAGACATCACTCTCTCACATCAGTTCTGCAACAGATATAGTAATATGTATATTTATTGGGAATGAAATATAATCTCTTCTTCTTCTTTACATCCTCTTTTATCGCTTTGGGTGTCGGGGATCTATAGGCTCCTCCATTAACACTGACATGGTCAAATGTCGTTTGACCAGTCCGTTTATATCTCACTGTATTTACTGTGGCGGCAGTAAATGCACTGCCAGCTTGCTAGGCCTGTCACAACTTTATCAGATCCCTATTGACAGGGTGTTTTGATGCGACCCAGGATGGCCTTCATGGTTACAGTAGTGGTCCCATGGCACAAGGCCACAACACACTTAGCCCAATTCTAGCAGCCCCCTACTTTGTCCTGTTAGCACACAAATACAATCACTTGCAACCATAATTTCCTGCAGACATTGATCAAAGCTGCAAAGTTACCCTTGTAAGATAATCACAGTTCCCACTTCATAGCTAACAGGTCACCCCATTGTTGCCCTCTTTCTGTGCTAAAGGAAACCACATAGAATGTTCATCTATGCCCATTGTGAAAAAAATTAAACAGACTGCAGTCTCAGCAAAGCGGATAACATGCATACACATCAAATGTATAAGGAAATCATCAGAAGTGATAACACAAACAGTCTGACACTAGAAATGCAGTTCTCCCTATAGTGAGGATTGATCTCAGACCAATATTGTGACAGACAAGCACATTAACACTATGTCAAAAAGGTTTATATTAAATCCTTTCACCCCATGAATGCTAAACAAATTAGGTCATGAACCTGTGGGAATGTCTAGAAAAAAAAATCCTTAGAAAACAATTATTTTACACAAGTAACTAATAAATGGTTTTAAAAAAAAAACGAAAAAAACTTACCTACATTTTGGTTTACAATATATAAAGATATTTCAAGGGAATAATCATTTAACAAGAACAGAGTAAAGCATTAAATGGAATGCATTCCCTGGGAATAAAACAATTATGTATAGGGTGACTCATGCTGTCACCTCTATCATTGAGGATTACAGGAAAACTGTAAGTTAACCTGGCTTTAATAAAAGCTTTTAGGTTTATATGGGGACCCCCTAAATGTCATGTTCAGTTAATATATTCACACCTGAGCCTCCTAAACACTGCACAGGCACAAACAGAACCAATGGCATTTAACTACGCTTTTCACATCCGGAAATGACTAAATTTACCCTTTTAGTGATGATAAGGTTAACACACATAATACAAAATGTATATATTCCTTACCGTCAAACTTGATCAGATCTTTATTGTTGGCCAAAGCATGAACAATGGCTACTGTGCCGCAAGCATTGCCAATTGTCTGTTTGGTGTAGTAAAGATCTGAGGGAAAGTTAGGCTGCACATCTCCGATAATGTCCCCAGCCTGCAAGAAGGAAACAGTTGCTGTTACTGCAAAATACTGGTTAGACATCATAATGATAACAAAGGTTTAAAGTCAAGAGAATCAATATCATTGCATTGGTCTCTCTCTAGAACAGCTTTTCGTCTGCCGAGAATAATGCATAAACCATGAACTCTGTAGCTCAAGCGATGATCCACCAGAATCTCTATAAAATTACACTAGGGAATTGAATTACGCAGCTGAGAAATGAATCCACAATCTTTGGAGCATGAGGCTAATAGCTAGACCACTTTATAAATGGATGGACACAGAAAGACAGACTGATCAGGCTGTTTAAGCTAACAAAAAGCTGTTAAGAGTCGAGCTAAGAATTGACATCATAGAACTCAGGACATTTCCTAAGTGCTCCGTCCTCATCTTCAGCAGCCAGTGAAGAGTTCCAATTCAGACAGTGCCAGAAGCATTTTGATTATATGTCCATCTTGTCTTGCCTTTGAGTGCAGAGTGCTGACCAGATCTGCCTGGTCACTCCTGGCTGTAAAATTCTCTGCAGACCAGAATGATCTGTTCATACCTCTTCACTGTCCACTTGCTCCCAAAGGGCTTTTACCACATCCTGCTTGTCATGAATCAGTTCACCCCCAACAGTGCATAACCAGCCAGTCTGCCTGCCTGTTCATTTCCCAACACTCTTGACACTCCACAGAAAATATCTGAAGAAAGCTAGCTATCTACCTGGGACCTCTGAAACGATGCTTACCCCTCTGCATGGAGAATGCCTGTCTCCACCTTTCTTAACATGCTTTGTCAGGCTGCAATCATGGCATGTGTGTGCTGCTGGCACACAACCCAGCAAAATGCCTGTTGTAACTAATAAGATTCCTGCTGGGGTCCTAGGGTACCATTTTCGGAGAAAAATAGAGAAAGGAACCACTGTCCCGTAACAAGAATTTCACAAAAGTCATTTAAATACAGATTTCTTGAAATCAGATGTTTTGGGCCATACACCAAATCAGTACTGAGAAATGTATTTGTCATTTTATGTCAATCTTCTTATGCGTTCTGAAACAGTATTTCTGTATATAACATACCATTTCAGCATATTACACCATGACCCCATAACAATAATTCACAATAATATAGTATAATAATATACCATACCAACATATCTTATGAGGAAACTTTCCCAGCATACCATTACAACTGTTAATACCAATATATCATCTTCATCGCTTATACAAGTGATGTAATTGTGCTGTGCTTGTTCACAGCACAGCTGCAATAGGTGCACCTTTCGGCTGACACATCCAACTTCTTTAGGCATTTGTTATCAAGGTTAGCCTTCCCGGTTAGTGACTTCATTATCACCTGACCCACAAGTGGTGTCCATAGAGGACACATCCAAGGCAGCTCATGTGTAGACTCGCAGACCCTCAAGGGAAATAGGCGAGGCAAAGGCATCCCCATATGGTACTGGATTCACTCCAGGAATTGTCACAACCTGCATATAACATCCGTATGCTCGGCTTTCAACTCGTCAAGGGCTGAGCCCTTAAGGTATCCACAGGAAGCAGCTTGAAGACCCAGGACTCCAATTCCCTGTACAAAGGGGCAAATTACTAATACCAATATACCATACCAACATACCCTACTAGCACACATCACCAATATACCTTACTCGCATATAATACCAACAATAGGAATAAACTCACAGGGAGCAAGTACAGCAGGGATCTACCAGTCCTCAGTAGAAATTATCCTCGTCAACGAGCGTTTCGGCCCACGATTCCTAGACGCTTTCGGAGGTGGGCCCATCTGAGTTCATGAAACTCAGGGCTGGTACCCTGCTGCACGAGGTTACCAGATGGTGTTTTTCTTTCGGATAGGGACAAGACGACTTGGTGGTTTCGCAGAAGGTACTGTGAGATAAGAAGTCGTTGCAGCAGCCTAATTAGAACAGTCAGCGTGCCTGGACGACCGAGCGACAGGCTTACGTTTGGTTTACCAGACACGTGTTGGACTTTTGTTAGCAGGTGGCAGAGGAACACTGGCAGACAATTCGGACACGATGGACTTTCAATGGGTGAGAAACCCTTTTCCACTAGACACCCGGACCAGCTCACCGAGGCCCGTCCCCTACGTTGTTGCGTTGCGTCCAAAGCCAGCTAGAGGCCCTTTCGGCTACCTCTCCCAGTTTTTTAAGTGTATGTTTTCGTTCATTACTGCGCAATCCTAGTTCTTTAACCACATTGTAGAGCGAAGTGGAAACGAGGCCTCTCGCTCCCACTTCGACGGCAAATACCCGTACCGTGTACGCCTCGTTTCTCCTCAGACCGGCTGCTAAATCACTGTATTTCTCGAGCTTATACAGGTGATTTTCATCCATACGCGACTCATACGGGACGGTCAACTCTATCAGGATGAGCTGCCGTTTTTGCGCAGAGTGGAGGACTATGTCAGGTCGCAGACCGGTCTTCCGGATTAACTCGGGGTACCGTTCATGGCCTGGCAGATCAACCACCAGTAACCAGTCCCTCGCAGAGTCTAGCACAGATGGAGCGAATGCGTTTCGGTTGACCTTACCTTTTTGAACCTGCCCAGCCTTGAGGAAACGAATGGGGACGATGCTAGAACTGGCCCTTGCGTTGGCCCTCATTCTAGCCTGGTCAACAACGGCTGCTAACTCTTTTAGCACCTTGTTGTGTCGCCAGGTGTATCGGCCTTGACCTAGGGCTTTCCTGCACGCAGACAGGACGTGCTCAAGAGTTTGCTTCGCTTTGCACAACGGGCAAGTCGGATCGTTAGTCGCAGACCATTTAACCATATTAACACCGGACGGTAATACATCGTACGCCGAACGGACGATAAAGCTCAGTCGCAGCGGGGTCATTCCCCAGATCTCACCCCATGTGAGTACACTTGGCAATGCGCTCTCCAGACTGACCCAATGGCCCTGCTGCGCCTGCTGGGCTGCTTTCTGGACCCGAACCTCGTTTTCGTTGTCCCTCACCGTTTGTATTACCATGTCTCGGCGTTCTTTGGCTGAGGCCTTTGACCACCAATTGACCTTCCCGTGCCCTAGGCCTCGACGGTCGGTTTGAGTGTATCCCATTATCTCCTTCAATTTTAGTGCATTCTGGGCAGATTCTATCGCATCGAGGACCCTCCACTTCTGGCCAGTCTTTAGAGCAGGCTGGACAGCGATGACAGTTGGGTCTGAAGATTCGCGCAAGAGCATGGCGAGTCTTACTTTGCCGACTTTAAACTCTTCGGTTATTGATTTGAACGGGAGTACCAGCTTAGCCTGCTTACAATACAGAGCCACGTCGGTCAGACAAGGCGGTGCACCAATCCACTTTCTTAAGGCTGTGTTGATTTTCCTCTCCATGGTTTCCACTGCAATCATCGTCACCTCGTAGACTAGTAGTGGCCATAGGAGCTTCGGAATCAACATGAATTGGAGACACCATACCTTGAATTTCCCGACCAGCCTGCAACGCTCGATCGCGAGCAAGCCTGTAGCCAGTACCAATATATATATATATATCATTTTCACTTTAAACTGGACACTTTTCAAACCATCTAGGATACTTTTCCAATCAAACTGGACGATTTTCAAACCACTCAGGACATTTTAAAAATCAAACCAGAAAATTTGCAAATCCCTTTTTATTCAGTGTGTCAGCAATCAGCCGGCTATTGGCCATTTGGGCTGCAGCTCCGTTCATACATTAGAAAGTCATGATTAATCCACTTCAGCACCTCTGATCCCTGTCATCAAATTTCTCATCTCTTGGATGTCCTCGCCTCCTTGTAAACCTACAAAGTAAGCGAAGGACTCTCTTTACACCAGTAGTGCACTGGACATTTGATGCAACTCTTTTTTCTATAGACCAGTTGGCACGGGATAGGTGATGTAAACATCATGCCACTGCCTTTGCTTCCCTAGAAATTACCTGGTACCCATTTTAGGCTGCATCAACCTGAAGGCTAAGGTTAATTTTCAAGGAAAAGACATGCCCGACTCAATGCGGGTTTGGGTTCTTAAAAACAAGAACTTCAGGCCAGCAGGTGAGAATAGAAACACTGCAGCAAGTAATTTGGTGGTTGTTAGAAGATGTGGTTATCTAGTAGTTTAAAAAAATGCCAGATTGTCACTACTCACCTTAATATCCGGGAACAGCAGCACTACAGCTGCTACTGGTCTGGGCACCAAGGCCAGGAGTTCTGGGTCAAGGCCCAACACATCGACAAAGTTCCAAGTGGAATCCACTCCAAGGTTATGGACGTACTAGAAGAAAGTTTATTTAACCTTCAATATATATTTATATATATATATGTGTGTGTGTTGTGCGCGCGCGCGCTCATGCTTATATGATTTTACTGGGAGCAACAAGGAAGACCAACTCATACATTGCATTAAGAAGATCACAAAGAAGATCCTTATGTCTCCCCTCAACAAGGTAAATAGAGGAAGAAGAGTAGGAAGAAGAAGAGGAGAAGATAGTTATTTTGGTGCACTGGCTGGACACTTACATATGGAGGAAGAGGTCTCAAATCCAAATCCAACCTAGACCAATGTTTATAAATGACGAGTATTCTCATGTTGACTAGGGAAGTAAAGGCAGTTGGCAAATATTGAGCATGTCACTTGATGAATTCTAGTGGGTCTTTATATTAGACTAGCACCATATACTCTATATGTTCGAAGACATGGAGACCAAATTTAGAAGTCCCAGGCAGGAATAAGACCCATTCAAGTAACAGCTAGAGCTCAACACAATTATGTGATCACTGAAAGGTGACAAAACTAAGCAAATTCCAGTGAATCAGGAGGTGAAGAAAAGACACTGGTTTTGGATAAGACACATGGTAAGAAAACATAAGAAACAATATAAATAGAATGTCTTTGCACTAGAATCCACAGAGGCATAGAAATAAAAGTAGGCAAATAACATATGGCGAAGGGTGAAGTTGAAAAGATGGGGAGTAATAAACGAACTAACAAACTTTATTTTCAAAGGGTCACAAATGGGACACGCAGGCTTGTCTTACATTCGGCCCTTCCAAACACCCGTCTTTCACACTGCAGCTGTATTTTATTAATAAGCATATTGTTAAATTAATATGATAATATGCATATTATGAATATCAATAAAAAAAGTTTGAACAAAAACAAAACAAAAGCATGGGTGGTAAAATGCATGCACACACTAGCGCACGCACACACACGCGACCACCCACTCACTTAAACATGCATTTATACCCACACAGAGACACATTCACACACAATTCCACAGATGCACACACAGTCACATGTTCATGTGGACATACAGGCACACATATACGCAACAACTTATACAATTACCGATAAACACACTCATAAATTGATAATTACAATAAGCTGGCATATAATCACTTGTAAGCATTAAATGAAAAAGTTTGCGGTTAAATGAATAGGAACTTTTTGTATTTTTCAGATCAACTGGAAGCTGGTTCCACAAATGAGCAGCACAATATGCTAAACTTGTTTGAAATAAATCTATTCTAGGTTTAGGACACGGAATGAGCTGGCTGTAATAACAAAGGATAAAATGACATGTGAGTTGGTTCAGGGTCTCTTCCCCACTGGGGAGGGGGGGGGGGAAGGAGAGGCAGGAGAAGGAGATGAATAAGAAGAGGAAGAAGAAGAGGACCAGGGGTAACTTTCAGGCTAAGGGTTGTTGCACATGGGACAAGTTCATAAGTGCTCAGATGCCACCTTCAGTATGTCCCTCAGCATGTGCTGACTGATAACACCAGTTCTGTGCTAGTTTACTATTATTGTTTTTGTTGGTATGTGGTGCCTGTATAGTGTTCATATCTGTCAATACCTTTTTTCAGAAAGAGAGAATGAGGGAGGGAAGAGTAGATCGAAAAGAATAAGACAAACAGAGACCCAGAGAGAGACATACATGCACAGGAAGGCAGCAAGATGAATAAAGAGAGATCTAGACAGACAGAAAGAAAGAGACAAGAGTGACAAACATACATGCACACAGAGAAAGAGAGATAGGTAACACATAGGGTCACACAGAGGCATAGAGTCAGAGATCAAAACAAAGAGTAAGACAGAGAGAAAAAGGGAGGGAGATATCCAGATATCCGGGGGGAGGGGGGTACAGCCAAGAGAAGAGACATACATAGAGACATAAGACAAACAAGGATAAAGAGCGAGCCAGAAAAAGCAGAAAAAGAGAGAAAGGGGGAGACAGTGACAAGGGAAGGCAGTGACAGGGGGAGACAGAGACACACATGAACACACTGTGAGAGAGGAACAGACAGAGACACCAAGACAAAGATATACAGAGACAGCCAGAAAAAGAGAGAAACGCACAAAAGTCAGAACAACAAAGCCACAGAGAGACAGACACCCAATAAAGTCACACAAACAATGAAAGAGTTTGTTGTGGGATTAACCCAGCTTGCAAACAGCATTTTCATATACTCATCAGTAAGGTTCACACAAGTACACATGTTACTAAGATCCTGGCAACACACTGCTAACCCAAGTACCAGCAACACAGGTGATTCTACAGCTCTCTACATTTCCCTTCCTCATTTACCTTGTTAATCACCTGCAGAAAGAAGATCAAATGCAAACAGTTACACAATGAAACCATATGTACAATAAGTAAAGTAGAGAAGCCTTACCATACCCTTAGGTTTACTGAGTATAAAGTGCAAGACCTATATTTGATATATCAATCGGCACTTAGGGGGCTGAGGTGGTCAACATTATGGAGGCCGCCTTTCTTCCCAGGATTTCTTGGTGCTCATTTTAAACAGGGTTGACCTACAAGCCAGCTCAATGCGGGTTTGAAAAAAATCCACCTCGATGCAGAATTGAACCCACAACCTTTGGGCCTGCAGATGAGCATGTAGATGCTACACCATGGTAGCTTCCTCCACACAGGTGATAGATGTTTAAAATATCTAATTACAAACTTTTGAGAACAGAGTCTAACCATAAACTGATAGACCCATCAGAGCTGCAGACAGCAGAGAATGTAGAGCGAGAAGCAATTAAGAAATTCATAAACTGTTGAAATCCCTACTAATTACCGACATCATGAGGGAATTTTCAAGAGCTATATGAATTCTGTTCTGTGAATCATGGACATTTGGTCAATTAGTGAAAAAGTCATGTGGAAGTGTTGGAGATGTGGTTTTATAGATGAATGTTAAGAACACCCAGGAGACACAAAAAGAATAAAGATGTCTTGAAAGAAACTGACTCACAAAGAGGACACACTGCCCCACATCAGAAGGAGACAATCTACATTCTTTGGTCATGTCAGAAGAAAGGAGAAAACTGGAGTACACCATGAAAGTGGGAAAGTTGGAGTGGTGAAATTGGTAGAGGAAGACACACAGAGAGATTGCTGGACAGTTTCCTATTATAGAATGGAAGATCATCAGTGTCAGACTGAAAGTGCATGAGACAGAAGATTGTGGATAGACATCACTACCAATACAAGGCACAGACTATAAGAAAAAGGTCCAGCAGTCATATGCAGGTGAGGATATGCTTATTCTATGCTTCTTATGTGCTTAAACTATGCTTATTATATGCTATTTCTATGCTTATTGTATGCTTATTATATGCTTACTATATGCTGTGCTTTATTATATGCTTATTGGATGCTTACTGTATGCTGATATATGCTTATTATATGCTTATTGTATGCTTACTGTAGGCTGACATATGCTTATTATATGCTTATATTCTTTTACCTTCCAAGAAATTATAAATTTCATAAAACTACTGATCAAACCAAGAACATTCACCATTGGTTCATGACCCTGTCATTCTGTTTCTCCTTTCTGGGCTGTGACCCAAAGGCTGTGACAGCCCTGCAACTGTAAGAGATGCATATTTGATGGCATTTCAACCACACAAATACCAGATACCCCCTTCAAACTCCTACAATATGTTTCTGTTTCAGTCTTCCAACTCTGGGTTGCAACCTGAAGCCTTGACACTAAGGAACTTGGAGTCAAGGAACCACTTTCTAGATGTCAGTTCAACAAGAACAGATTCCATATCAAACAGTTACACTGGCCACCCTATGCCTAAAAACAGAAATCTTCTGTCCTGTGCTGGTAAAGAGTGAAATTTTCATTATGTTTTCAGTCAAATCATAAATATTCATAATCAATTCACGGCCCTCTTATTAGTTATTAATTTTACCCCTGAGAATAAATCAGGCAAATAGTAATGTGGTTTCTCTTAACTCTTTGAGGCCCACACGACGGTGTGAGCGTTGTTTGAGAGGGTTCCGTTTTGCCCAAACAACAGTGTCATCGTCACTCATGAGTCCCTTATATTTTGCTTCGCACGCGGCTTCGTACTAGTTTCTAATGTTTGGAGGCACGATTTAACTATTCAGGGAAAGTCACTCTGCCGAAATCCTTTTAGTTTCATTTCCTGGACTAAAAACACACGTGGATAATTTGAGAGAAAACACAGCAAATTTTTTTTTAGCAGTTCATTTTCTAGGTTCGTTTTTGAGTGCCATGAATACCAATGTTCCAACTACAAGTACAGGTCGCAGAATGCATCTTTCTGCTGCCGAAGCTCTGAAATTGTTTCAGTCAGATGTTCTTAATTGTGATAATGATAATAAACATTTAGATTTTTCTGAAAGTGATTCGGACGGTGAATTTTCACCAGTGAAGCTGAGCGATCAGCTGTTCGGAATCTAGCGATTCTGATGAGTTTATTACAGAGACAATGTCCCATACTACCGTATTTATGATGTAAGAGAAGGAAAGTGCTCTAAACAAAGAGACAGTACTATACTATGGCTAAGCTACACTAAAATCATCGCGGCTACACTAAAATCATCGCGGCTACAGTCTGTAAATAACTGTACAAAGTAAATAGTAAATAGTGTGTGTGTAATGGCTTATTTTTCTGCCATTTTTACTCTGAAATTTTGCTCAGCACTCTGTGAGAACTAAGAGCTCCTGAGTGCTAAACTTACCCAGAAAGTTATTATAACTTTGGAATATGTTAGGAAATTGAACAAACTTTGAAGTTTTGTTCACAAATTTTGATATTTACTACTCTTGTGGCTGCAAAACCATGGTAAGTGAAGAATTTCTTTGTTAAATGTTGTCCTTGTGAAATTGACACCTGCTGAATTCTTCTTTCACACTAACTATAACAAAATTAAACAAACACTTATCATCGGATTCAAAATTTACATTCATTTCTCTTTTAAAAAAATATATACTTTTTTAGGGATTAGAAGTATATTACAATCTCTACAGCCTTTCTTGTGCACCCACCCCTCTGCCATTTTTGTAAAGGAAAATTAATTTGGGCTAAGTCTGTCAAAATTCATGGGCCTTAAAGAGTTAATGGCACCCCACTCCAAGACGTGGAGTCGTACACCTATTTAGGCAGTAATGTAGATAAAGATGGAGGAACTGATAGAGATATTAAAATAAGAATACAAAAGGCAAGAAGGGCTTTCATAGCACTAGGGAATTTGTGGAGGTCAAAAGAAATTAAAAGAAATACTAAACTAAAAATTTTTAATTCTAATGTCAAATCAGTACTATTGTATGGGGCGGAAACATGGAGAACAACCAAGGCAATTACTAAAAAATTACAGACATTTACTAACTGGTGCCTGCACAGAATAGAGGGAATAAAATGGTATGATAGAATAACTAATGTAGAATTTTGGGAGAGAACTAAGCAGGCTCCAGTGGATCAGGAGGTAAGGAAAAGACGCTGGCGTTGGATAGGGCACACACTGAGAAAACAGGAGAACAGCATAACTAGAATGTCTTTGCATTGGAACCCACAGGGGCATAGGAATAAAAGAAGGCCAAAAAACACATGAAGAAGAGTGCTGGAGAATGAGGTTAAAAAGACTGGGAGGACATGGGGAGAGCTCCATGCAATGGCGAAGGATAGAACGACTTGACGTGAGTTGGTTGAGGGCCTATGATCCATTGGAGGATAGAAAGGCAGAAGAAGAAGAATTTTACCCCATCAGGACTGATTTCTAAAAGATTACTAAATGACTCAAAGAGCAACTATCTTATGAGAATCCAAAAGGAAAACCTGTTCAACTGACAGCTTAGTGATGCTTGGTTTAACAAAGTCTAGCATATGATACTTCAGCATCTAGTTTGAGACTGGAGATTGAGGCAGTCACAGCAGTATTTTTGCTGGCTTGAGAACCAGTTACAAACATATGATTGTAACCGACTCACAAAGCATGTTAAGAAAGGGGGTGACAGGCATGCTCTGTGCAGAGTAGCAAACATTGCTTCAGAGGTATCAGTAGTTAGCCTTCTTTGATATTTTGTCCAGGGGATGAAGGAGGGCTGAGAAATAAAAAGGAGGCAAACTAGCTGGTTCTGCACTAGCGGATGGTGAATTTATGCATGACAAGCTAGATATGGTCAAGGCCCTGTTGGAACAAGTGATAAATGTTGAAATACAAATAAATCATTATGGTCTGAAGAGAATGGTCAGCTAGGATTGACCAGGGAATTTGGTTGACAGTTTACACTCAGAGGAAAGGCAAGATGGATATATAATCAAATTGCTACTGGCACCATGGGAGTTTGAACTACTCATTGGCGGCTGAAGATGAGGACAGAGCGCTTATGAGAATGTCAAGAGAATTGTGATGTCAGTTCTTAGTTCAACACCAGTTATATAAGGGCAATTTACAGTTAACCTATTAGGGCAATTTACAGTTAACTTTTTAACAGATATTAACTCCCGTCCCCACAATGGGCTGCAGGACACTTCCTAACTACAGGGGTGCCCTAATATAACTTTTACAACTGTGAACAAGGTTTCTGGGATTTACTCCTGTTTGATTCTCGTCCATGATGTGTTGATCCTATGGGCAGCAAGTTTCAGAATAAATGTCAAAAGGAGAATCTTGCAAATATTCTGGCCCAAAAAGATCAGAGATGAAGAACTAAGAAGTAAAACATTGTTTATCACTGTCAAACATTATAACAGGAAGACAATGAAGATGGCTTGGTCATGCTTGCAGAATGCCTCATAACACTGTTGCATGTACAGCTAGCTTTCTTGTTGACAGCAGCACACTGAATGACTTGACTCTTGGAGTCCCAGGGGGTTAAGCATCACAGGCCCAGGGAGTAGTAAAGAAAGTAATAAAATCGGCACATCATGGATTCACTGGGCTTCTAGGTTGGAACCTATGAAACGTAAGATGTGTTCCTTGTGACTCAAAGAGCTAAGGAAACCTAGACCAGAATAGTAAAAAAGAAATAAAGTGTAAAATAACATGGGATACCACAGGCAGAAAAGCAGCAGACCAGCAACAACAGTGACAATACAATAGAGTTCACATATAAATGCCTTATGTATCAACAGCGACATAAACAGGATATAATGACACAGATATAGAATATTGGTAGCAAAATGGAAGGAAAAGATGACCACCTAACCAATTCGAAGTGAGCAAGCTGCAGTAATCAGTAATCTAAACATGGGTCCGTTTCAGGGTTTGGTTTTTTTTTTTTTTTTAAAGAAAAAAAAAAAAAGATGCTGGTAATTTAATCTGTTACAGCAGAGCTGTAAAAAATTAGTGCTTGGTGAAAAGTTCCCGGTACTGCGTACTATTACGTTCTTCTAGAAAAAAAAGCCATGTTATTCATGATATATTTAGTACTTTATTGATGTCTTTTCTGTCTCTGATGATGCATTGAATTGCATGAGTCTCGCTTTCCACGAATTCCCGTCAGTTAGAAACAACAAAGGAATATTTATCATTACTAAAATTTGATAAACACGAAACAGATCACACACTTTAGGATTTGACTCCAAGGGAATCCATCGCTGTTCAGACTCGGTCATGTTTAAATCTTGTAAACTGGCGACGCCGGCTGTGTGACAGAGAAGAGAATCAGAATACAAATGACAGTTGAGCGGTGAGCGGTCCTACTGCCAGACGATGAGATCTCTGCTGGTTGTCTCCCTTGGACCGAGCCGGCCGATTTACCGAAAATATCCGTACGCTATCAGGCGCATCGTCATTAGCATTCATTTCCACGTTTGCTGTTAAGTGACGTGGGGAGGAACAGTTTGCGATCCATTGCTAGGTGGGTAGCCATGGCTACTGTCATTCCATGTCAATGTAGAAAGTTGTTAATGTCATCAATCAATCTGCTTCTTGGGCGACTTCTTGCATCAGATCTGTTCATACAGAACACTGGTCTCAGAATCATCACTGGGGGTATGAGAAGCACACCAATTAATGAGCTGGAGGCATCTTGTGGCCTCGAGAGCTTGAGCCTTCGAAGGGAAGAAAAGGTGCTTACCCTAACAGAAAAATTTAAACGCATGAACAACGACCCCATGCACAGAATAGCAAATAACTTAACAAAAAACCGACTCAGAAGACAAAGCTTTCACCATTTATCAAAACTGTACTACCAACAACAACAACAACAACAACAACAACAACAAAAAAAAAAAAAAAAAAAAAAAAAAAAAAAAAAAAAAAAAAAAAAAAACAAACAAACAAACAGTGACATCCTTTCTAAAGATCCTTCAACATGGGAAATGATCCAGGCATACAGCGTAGACCTACAGCCTAACTATACAGTCACAACAACAATTCCAGGCATAGACAGAAAGACTGAAGAATGTGACCTAGTACTGCATGCAAAGACCGTTGAACATGTCTGCAACAGTTACCCAAAACCCGAATGGACACACGTATACACCGATGGATCATTGGAGGGAGCAGACAAAAATGGAGGAGCTGGATCGGTCATCATGCTGCAAGATGGGACCACAGTAGAAACGTCATGCGCCTCCGGAAGACTCTCAACAAACCAGAGCAGAGCAGCAAGCAATTATTGATTCAGCCAAAGTGCTCAAGGAAAGAAAAATTAAAAACAGCAAAATTGTTTTCCTTTGTGACTGCATGTCAGTCCTCCAGGCGACTCATAGGGATCCACGAGACTACATAGCAAGAGAACTGACCCATCAGCTAAACAGACTCACAGAAAACAATCAAATCGTTCTCCAGTGGATCCCGGCTCACTGCGGCATACCAGGAAACGAGCTAGCAGACAAACTTGCAAAAAATGGAACAAAGAAGAAACAACACGCCCATTCATTGTCATTACCAGAAATCAAAACACTTATCAAAGGAAAATACCAAGAATTGTGGAAAGAATAAACCAACAGTAAACATCCACAAGACCCTATCAGCAGACTCAACAGAAAGCAACATACAACAATTTTCCGTCTACGAACAGGACACTGCAGGCTCAACTACCACATGCATAAAATAAAGATTGTGCAGTCCCCACAGTGTGCCTGTCAGACAGGACAACAAACACCTCAGCACATTCTGCAGACCTGCCCACTCTACCTACAACTTCGAAAAGACACCTGGCCTCAAGAGCAGAGTGTGCAGAGCAAGCTATGGGGAACCATGAAGGACCTGCTGCTGACAACCCACCTGATGGTCTGATTTGAGCATACGAAACCGAACGCAAAGAAGAAGAAGAAGATTTGTTCATGGGTCTCTCTCTCTCTCTCTCTCTCTCTCTCTCTCTCTCTCTCTCTCTCTCTCTCTCTCTCTCTGTTTTACCCCATCAGGACATCACACAAGCGATAAACACCCGTGACACAAAGTGCCAAGATGCGATTGAGGATCCCCGGTGGAGAGGTCCCAGAAACCCCTTTTATCCGTTCGGCCATATTTATGGCCCGGCTATATTCAGGGCCCCCTGGCAAAAGCCACGGTGGTTCTTCAAATAACGAAAAATTGCATCCCACATGGGGACGCGTATTCTTTGATAGCGACTTTACTGGTAGGCGTTATGTCTGCCTAACAATTTAGACAATACAATAACGCTCATAATTAGTTATATATGGCTCGAAGTCTATTGCTTCAGTCTGCTCCATCCTGTTCAATTATTTCGATATCATGGACGGATTCCATTCTAGCGCCCTTGACCTATTTCAGCAACGTTCGTCTACTTACTCTTAGAAGTCCTCTTTCATCAATCCATTTGCTTCCAGTTAAAGGTGATTCTCTCTTCCCTTCTCAGAATGTGTCCAGTAGCTGTTCAGACATTTCCTTTATTTCCTCGCCTTCCTTGAGTTTATTCATCAAGTTCTTCGGACATTTTTTTTTCCTTCAAATATTCTTAATGATCTATCTATGTCTTTAGTAGTTCTAAACTTTTATTGCTTTTAAGCATGCCTCCATATTATATATAGAACAAAACTAACTTGCTTGCTTGGACCGAAAGAGTTAACATTGAAATAAAGAAAAGATTCCTTTTCACGTTTTTTAGGGGCATCGGGCATATGGGAAGACCAATAGGCACTAGGTGGGTAATGTGGTCAGTATTACGCCAGCCGTCTTTACTTCCACAGGACATACATCTTTGTACCCATTTTAGGCTGGGTCGACCCGAGACGCCCCATACCATGATAAAAATCCACGCAGCCAGTTGTGAGTGTCGATCATGTTACGTTGGAATTACCAGCCGGACTCGCAACGCCTAAGCCACGGACACAGCGACATTGAAAAAAAAAAACAAAAAAACGTTAGAATAAAAATATTAGAGCAAACTTGTTTGAAACATTTTGATCAGCATGAGTAATTGTGCGTCTTCAGAAGCTTCCGGTACTATTCTTCTACAGACTTGTCAAGATATTCTACAGCAAATGTAATCAAACTGTTACATCTCTTCCTACTGCTTGTTCATATAATTCTACATCTTCTTCTGCTTCTTCGTTTGTTCCCTATCATCCTGTGCATCCCTTCATTTCCTCTTCTTCATATCCTCTTCTCCCTCCTTCTTCTTCTCCTCATCCTCCTCCACTACATCCTCCTCCTTGTTTCTCTTCTTCTGCTGCTGCTGCTGCTGTTTCTTTTACTGCTGTCTCCTGCGTTTGCTGCTAAAGGGGACCAAGCGCTTATAGGAATTCCCCGAGTGCAGCGATGTCGATGCCTAATTCAACCTGGATGCAGAATTGTGCTGTATGGACAGGTCCCAAACATCAAGTTCATTGCATCTGACCAGCAGTAATGGCGGGAACTGATCAGACAGTCAACAGCAGCTGGTGACCCAACGACATCTGGTGTTATGAGACTATGGTGTTGATGATCATGATTGGGGAGCGGTGGGGGTAGGGATAAAGCACCACAAATGTACACAAAGAAGAAGACACAAATGAAGTTAAGAAGATTGATTTCTTTGCTTCATTTTTGTTTAATTCTGCAGTTTGCAAGCACGTAACTGGTAATAACAAAATTTTTAGGCGAAAACAGTTTGACGTCATTTTTTATTTAAAGATCAGTTTGAGTAAACAAATATAAAAGATCTCAATTTCTCTTTAGTGACTCAAAGAGTCATTATTCGGATGTGAATCTTACAGGATCATATATTCCAAGTGCCCCGTTCCGCCGGTTATCATTACCATGTGCCGTGCCGGTAAGTGTAGGCTGTCATGTTTCACCATCTCACATGATCACCAGATTCATGGATCAGTTCAATGTTTTTATCAAATCCTGGCCAGGCCATTCAGGTACTTTCGTATCTTTTCACCACATACAAATATTCAGCCCTATAACATATTTATACTAGGGGACCAGACAATTAGGAAGTAACAGAGTGATAATAAAAATTGGAAACTGGAATTTTAATTGTGGAAAACAATAATAAAACGTTAAGAAATAAAGATCTGCTGTGCGTTGTTTCTAATTATCGTTGCATAACTTGATTCGGCAGTTCTTCTTTGACAACTCATCTGTTATGATCCTGTGCTCACTAGTTATAATAAAGGCGTATGTTTGATACTGGTAGTAATAATTTGAGATTTTAATAAATAATCCCTGTAAACTTGAATTTGATCGGTTTTTCAGGCTGGACAAAAGTGGTATAAATAAACTCGGTGTTCATGGATTCTGGATCCATATCGATCTTCAGTTTTTGAAGAACCTGTCAAAGAAAACAGATTTTGCTGTTGATAAATTAACTTAGAAATTATGGATACTAAAGGACGTCACTCGTCACGACTTGGTACCTAGTGCATTTTGTAAGCAATTCCAGAGAAATTAAACTAAAAAGCTCAACAAAATGGGGAAGCAGAAAAACGTGCACAAAACAACACAACGTAACGTTTCGGTCGGGCAGCAGAAATTGGACTAAAAAGCTCAACAAAATGGGGAAGCACAGCCTGTATTAACTTGACTGCAGTCACCACCATATTTTCATTAGCTTGATTGCAGCCACCCCCATATTTTCTGCATTTTGTAAGTAAGTAAGTAAGTAAAGATCCATTTTTACACCTTTGGCGCATCGGGCATATGGTAAAAGCACGCCAAATTTTTCTAGGCCAATCGGCACTAGGTGGGCAACGTGGTCAGCATTACGTCGGCCGTCTTTACTTTCCCAGGACAGACATCATAGTACACATTTTAGGCTGGGTCGACCTGCGTCGCCCCGTACCATGATAAAAACCCACGCAGCTAGCAGTGGGTTTCGATAGTGCATTTTGTACTTGACCTATATTTTTTGTATACACCAATTTTAACACAACAATGGTCCCCTCTCCTTCACAGAGTATTACATGGTGCTCATTTTTAGCAAGGCTAACCCAGGACTTAGTTCTTATAAAATAATCAGACTAGATGTGGATTCGATTCCGAAAGCTTCGGGTCTGCAGGCGAGCTTGAAAAATAGTTGACATTTGTGATTCATTTCTTTCAATATGGTCGTATACAGGGTGTAGTGTACCGTAAGACAAGTTCCTCAGTAATAGGAGGGTTGTGTAATACTGTGGTATTTGATCGCACCCAGGGTGTAGTGTACCGTGAGATAAGT